TAGCCAAAGATCGGGACGCAGTCCGTGAGCATGCCAAAGAAGACCTTGAACGACCACCCGAGGGTCATGAGCGTGCCCGCCGAGTTGAGAATGTTGGGGGGGAGCTGGTAGTACGCCGTCAAGAACGGATACCCAATCGCGTTCGTGCCACCGAGGACGACGCCAACCACCGCGTACTGGAAGAGGAAAGCGAGAATCTCGGGCGACGTGTAGACGAGCGCGCCGCCTTCACGGAGGGCACCACCGTCTGGGGCAGTGTCGGCTTCGAGGTCGCCAGGCGTCTTGACAGGCGTGTAGTCGTCGCCCGAGACGGGCTCGATCGACGCCCGGGCATAAGAGAGCCGCTCGCCGAGCGGCAGACCATCCTTCGGCTGCACCATGAGGAAACAAGGCGGAGAAATCAAAAATGACGAGCAAGAAGGTTCCTACGCGCTGTACAGCTCTCATAGGGGACCGGTAACCACCTTCTGAGTCGACCGCCGCATCTCGCGGGATTAGTTTGTTTACTTACGTAGCCGAGTTACCTTCATACGCGACTGGATGGATCGCGTCCCAGATGTGGTCGACTTGGCTTGTGGATGTATCCTAAACGTGGTTCCACGAGGAGCGGTCCCTCTGAGAAGCACCCGTCGCACGTTCGGAAAGTCTGATAACGCGTTCTAGTCTAGCCTCAGCACTGGACAACGTCGTGCACGAGCTCACATACGAGGAGACGCGTCGAGAAAGCACCGCACTCGTGTTGAGCAGCCAGTGTAAGCGAACCAAACGACTCGTTATGGGAATAAGAACTGATGAATGACTTGCCGACCCGGTTCACGAGTGTCCAAGTTACAAAAGACGACACCCACACGCGCTTCGTCCCACTTATGCGTTGCCAGCATTCTCACCAAAATGGCACGGATGCTGCATATTCAAGTCAAATCATTAGTTGTTACTCGACCGTTTGTGGATGATTCAAGTCCAGAACTCCCAGCGTGGCCTTTCTACGAGGAACCCAAAAGATTAATAAGTCGAATTGGACGTTTGGGCTCTTGATTTCACCTTGCTAGATATTGAGTCGTGCGAGCCTCAGTAGTTGAAACCTAAACCGTACGCTATGGTCACCATTTTGTGGCCACCGAGCATGTCCTTGGCCAAATAGACCCCAATAATATTGGACCGACGACGAATGTATGTATCCTACTCGTGGTCACCAACCTCAACCCTAAGCGAATCAAAGGTAGCCAATCTCGAATGCGTGGCACAAGCAGATCTGGGCGCACTACCACAGTAGTCACCGGAAGAACGGGTTGACGCGGTTGCCGTGCACACTGCGTCGACGAGCGTCGGATCGGTCGAGCCGATCAAGGACCGGTCCAAGCAGCAACAACGCTTCTCATTACATTCGTAGTTGAATCAGACGATCGCCACTACCAGATCGCTGCACGCTCGTCTTCAGGCAAATACATGGCGTCGCCTTCTTGGATATCGAACGCGGCGTAGAATTCCGGGAGGTTCTTGAGTGGCGCAAAGCTGCGGAGGAAGCCCGGGCTGTGCACGTCCACCGAGAGGAGCTTGAGCGCTTGTTCGTCGCGGTCGATCGACGCCCAAAACTGGCCCCACGCGAGGAAGAAGCGCTGCTCGGGCGTGTACCCATCGAGAAGGTCGTCCGGACGGCCGTGTTTGGCCAAGTAGAGCTGCAGCGCACGGTATGCGATCTTGACGCCGCCAATGTCGGCAATGTTCTCGCCAAGCGTCAACTGGCCGTTCACGGGCCGGCCGAGCACTTCATACTTGCTGAACTGGTCGACAACGACTTGGGTGCGCGCGTTGAACGCCGCCGCGTCCTCCTACATTCCACAACCATCAAAATTCCCTACGAACATATCAACTCTGTATCAGTCGTACCGGCGTCCACCATTCCGAGAGGTTGCCGGCCGCGTCAAAGAGGCGCCCTTGGTCGTCAAAGCCGTGCGTCATTTCATGGCCAATCACAGCCCCGATCGCGCCAAAGTTCATGGCCATGTCGCGGTCCAGCTACATGTTTCAATCTATCAATGTATCAAGCACGTCGAACGCACCGAGAACGACGGCGACTGGAGGATCGCGGCCGGGAACACGATCTCATTGGCCATCGGGTTGTAATACGCGTTGACCATTTGCGGCGGCATCTCCCACTTGTGCTTCTGCACCGGCGCGTCCACGCGGCGGACAATGTTTTCCGCAAACATGAAGCGCTGCATCGCGAGCACGATCTCGACGTAGCTGCCTTCGAGGTGCAAGGCCGAAAAGTCGGTCCAAACATCCGGGTACCCAATCTTGGTGACGATCGCATCGAGCTTCTCAAGCGACTTGGCCTTGGTCGCCGGCGTCATCCACGTCAAGTCCTGGAGCGACAGCGCAAGCGCTTCCTTGAGGCAGCCCACAAGCTCCAGCATCGCCGTCTTGGCGGTCGGCGGGAAGAACGCCGCGCAGTAGACCGCGCCCATGAGCTCGCCACACGTCTCGTTGAGCGTGTTGACGACGCGCTTCCAGCGCGCCGAAAGCTCCTTCGCGCCCGAGAGTGCCTTGGACAAGGCAAAGGCTTCGTTCACGTACACCTAAATATCAATGTATCAGTTGGTCCTGTGAAAATATCAAGAAAAATAGGACGCACCGACGGCAGGTACGAAGCGAGCGCCTTGAGTACGTGCCAGGACGCGTACTGCTTGTACGCGTCCAAATGCGCTTCAATGTCGTCGGCGAGGAACGTAAACATCTCGGGCGTCGCGACGATCGCAAAGCCCGGCACGTCGAGGCCGTAGCCGCGGAACACGGCCGCCCACGGGAACGCCGCCGCCTCCAACTCGTCGGGCGTCTGCTTGTTGTAGAGCGACGCAATGTCGCGCATCGCAGTCCGCGTGCGCGAGGTTGCCGCAAGCCGGCGCTCGACGGCGACGACCGACGTGGCGACGGCCGATGCATCGTCGTGTGGGCGGAAGAGCGACCACATGGCCGCGACATGCGCCTCGTACGCAGCGAGCTTCTCGGCCTTGTCGGCGTCCGTGTAGTAGTCGCGGTCCGGGAGCCCGAGGCCGCCCTGGGCAAAGAAGAGCCGCTCGGTCGTCGAGTCCTTCATGTCGGGCAGCACGGCGGCATCAAAGAGCACGCTGAGGCCTTGCGTGTGGAGGTACCCAATGGCCTCGATGAACGAGTCGCGGTCGGTCGCGTCCGCAATGCGGGCCAAGAGCGGGTCCAGGGCCGCCGTGCCCGCGGCCTCGACACCGGCCTCGTCCATGGCCGCCTGCCAGAAGCGGGCGATCTGGCCCTCGCACGTGCTCGCGTCGAGCGTATCGATCTCTGCGACCTTGGCTTCGCAGAGTCCTTTCACGTCGTCAAGCACTTGGTCGCGCAGCTTGTAGAAGACGCCCCACGCACTGTACTCGTCCGGAATCGGGTTGCGCTGGGTCCACTTGCCCCACGAGAAGGCCATAAAGTCGTCGCGCGGGTTCGCATCCCGGTTCATGTCATCGAGCTGAAGGCCCGAGTGGGCGGCGGCGCAGCAGCAGAAGCGAGGCGGTGACATGGCTAAAGTCGAAATGACGTCCGAAGGCCGAGGCCTCGGCGTCCGTGGGACGATTCACCCACGTGGCCTTTTTAATTCGCTTGTTCAGTACATGGTCATCGAACTTTGGCCAATCAAAATGCGTAAATCTTGGTCCAAACTACTTGAAAGAGTGAATGAAGACCACCCAAGATCGTGAAATCAGGGATGCCCGTGGAGGCCGCACGCGACGATGCCCGCACGCGCTCATGACAGAATATATGTACAAAGGATTAGACATAGAGGTATATAATAGACTATTCGATTCTTGTTGTCGCGGCCTTGACGCTCGCCGAAGTCGTCAGTTGGACCTTGGACTGACGAAGAGACGACGAAAGTGATGCTGGGGCAGAGTGACGGTTGCGATAGACACTGCCGAGCACGGCCATGGCGCTTCCACGATGGGTATCTCATTTGCTACCTCGACCAGTGTTGATAGTCGGCGGCACGAATAACATACTAGACCGACTGGACTCGTAAATGCAGTTATCGAGTCCCTTGCAACACCTCGACACTATTACTCTTGTGCGATAGTAGGAGGAGAGTGTACCCATCGTGTACCTTCTTGAACGTCGATCGACAACACTCGTTACTGAGACGAGCTCCAAGGATCTCCATATACTTGAATGCTCCGAGTCGACAGGGAATGCCTACCTCGTATGTTATCTTCACTAAGACCGCTACTGAGCCTGAGAAATAACCACGTTGACTGCGGTCCGGCCGTCTTCGATACAGTACTACCGGTAGTTAGGACACTAGACATGTGAGCGCTATAACTAGTTTCGTGCGTCTAGCATTCTCGTACCACACACGATGGAGGTTGGTGCATCCAGATCAAGAGTATTTATGTACTCTTGATCCAGATGAACCTCAGTATTTGAAGCCTCGACTCCCCCGGTCACGTACGAAAATCATGCTGGAGTTGCCAAGTTCGCAAGGCTTTTGCTGCGCCTCTCACACAGTGCGGGTTCCCGACGTCTGTGGAGCAGATCGCACTGGACGGACCCCCTCACCAGACTGTTTGCCATTCACGCTGCCACGTCATTAGGAAATTAACACAGGACAATCTCGTCTCGTATGAAAATACGTTTTTACACGGGCAATCAACGCCTTGAAAATATTTTCGGCCATTGGCTTTTGGAACTAGCGACGCCGAGCGTGGCAGCCCGAGCGACGAGAGCGATGGAGCCTCCAAGAGCGCAAAAGCGCGCCGCTTCGAGCGCCTTTGCCACGACGCAGCCTCGCAGATGACGCCTCTCCAGCGATACAAACTCCAAGTACACGGCGCGCGGCGAAGGCTTGAACGCCTTTACAGCCCTCGGCGGCGCAAGTGATCTTGATGCTTCAGAAAACGAATTCGCATGTCCCTCTACGACCCGCTCTACCACCAGAAGCGAGCTGCAAAGCTCGCCGAGGCCAAGTTGGCGGCCGAAGATGCCCTCATGCGAAAGCCAAGCCCGACGGCGGCGACGAACCTCGGTTCGCGTGCCACCGCGTTCGGGCGCAGCAAGACCCCGACGGTTGTCCGCCAGCGCGCGGCTCCAACTGTCCCGGTGACTGCGCGATCGACGATTCGGTCGACGCAAACGCCCGCCACGACGGCGGTGCAACCTCTGACGGCAAGCAGCCGCACCTCGACCACCGCCGCGCAGCGTCGCACACCGGTGACGAGCGTCGCGACTGCTCCGTCAAGTACCACCACGGATGCCACGCCTGCTAGCGCGGCATCGACGACCACGACTGAGGCGATCCTCGGTCAGCTGCGTTCGGAAGTAGCAACTCTCCAAGCGCAGGTCGTCACCCTCCAAGCCAGCCTCAACGCGTCGATGGACACGGCCAAGACACGCACCTCGGAGCTTGATCTTGCCCATGCCCAGCACGACGCTGATCTCGAGACGCTTGGAACTCAACTTCAGGCCACCCGGGATGTCGTTGCGCATCTCGAGGAATCACTCGAAGTTTCGGAGCACGCAACTGCGACCGGTGCCTCGGACCTCGCTCTTGCTCGCTCGGAGCTCGCTGCATCCCGAGCGCAGCACGACGACGACATCAAGGCCCTCAAGGGCAACCTTGAGGAGGCGCGTCAAGCGGCTTTGGCCGGCGCCTCGGAGCACGAAGCGGTCGTCAAGGCGCTCCAAGCCGATTACGAGAAGGCGCTGGCCGCCAAGGGTGCAGAGTTCCGAGACAAGTACGAAGACGCAGTACGCGGCCGTCGTGTGGTATGCCCTGCTTGCAGCGACGTCGATGAATCGAGTCAGTGGACCGTCCTTAATGGGCCGCTTCTCGAAGACACGGACTTTGACAGCGACATGGAGGTGGTTCTGGGTGAACCACCAGCACCGCCAGAGCTGGTCGCAGCCGCAGAGCTCGAAGCAGAACGCAAGGCTTACGAGGCGCTCAAAGCGCAAGCCGACGACGCAGCCGCCCGCGCCGCATCGAACGAGCTGCGCCTCGAGAACAAGATCTTGAAGCTCATGACGACCATCAACGATCTCTCGGCCGGTGTCAACGCGCTCTCGTCCGACAAGTCGGAGCTCGCAGCGGCCAAAGCGAAGCTCCAGGAGGAGACGACAAACCTCCTGGCGCGCGTAGCCGCCTTGGAAACGGCGCTGCAGACGCAGAAGACCGACGCCAAGACCGACATGCAGGCGCTCGAGACGCGGGCGGTCACGGCCGAAGCCGCTCAAGAAGCCAACGCGACGACGATCCGGGAGCTGCAAACCACAATCGAAGGACTCTCGACGAGCGCCCTCTTCAAGCGTACGCAAGAGCTCTCGAAACAAATCCGGGACCTCGAGACACAGCTGCACCGACTTGGGTACGACTAGCGACGACTAACTCTTTTGGAATACGTGTTTTGCATAAGATCGTAGTTGTAGTTCAATCTAAGTTGGATACTGTTGCCACCAACACCCGCGACAAGGTGCGCAGAGCTCCCAAACGAAGCAGTGCCGGATGGCGCACTTGCCGCTGTGTCACACAGTGTTCGAGACAGTGTTTTGTCCGATGCACAGTTTAACAGTGCATTGAAGGAATACAGTGTTTCGGACTGAAACACTGTTTCCAACAAAGGCACTCGCATGACAGCTTGGTGGTGTGGTATATATATGTACTACAACAAGTGCTGGATCCTCGAGAACTCTCCAATTGCTGCGTTGAAGGAAGGGTAGATGGTGCCGTGGACATCGTGCTCGTAGTCAGGGTGCTCGCCAAAAAAGACTTTGGCGGCGCCAAAGACGGACACGTTTGCTCTGCGGTACGCACATGCCGACTGCAGCATCGAGAACGCAAAGCCCTTTGCTACTTGGCAGGTATGCTGTCGGGATTGCAGGGTACGAATATGTACCTGGAACGGTCGGCGAGCTTGGAAAGAACCCAAGGCGTAAGAGTACGGACGCAGGCTTGCAAGCGCTGCAAAGGACTTGGACTTTCTCGCTGCCGTCGTACCCGTGCAGCAGCACTTCCATTGGCTTCGCGCGCGCTGAGCGCGTGGTCCCACAGAGACACGGCACAGATCGCAGCGCCGGGCGCAAAATGGGGCAGCCCTTCGCATCAACGATGTTGTGTGCGTACGGTGCGTGGTCGACCGCATGCCCGTAGCAAAAGACAGCGTTCGTCGAGAAGTACTTGCACGTGTGGCACACGTACGTTGCTGGGTGTGTACACGTACCGGTATTGCAACGAGCCCCCGGGCGAACCAGCGGGGTCGCCCAGTCCGCGACATCTTTGACGCTCTCAACGAGGAGGTCGCGCCACGCATTGGCGGCGATACCGCGTGCATTCGCGCGTCGTTTGTCGTTGTGGAGCTTGCGCATCTCAATCGACGGCTTTGTGGTGTCGTTGATATGGCGCGCGCCGTCCGCTTCGTCTGGCTCTTCGTCATCGTGCCCACCCCCGTCGTACCCGGCGTCTGCCGACTTACCCGCGACGTCCCAGTCGGCGGCAGTGTTCTCAACCCAGTGCTCGGTGTAGGCGTCGTGGTTTTGCTGCGCGTGGGCGCCCTGGCAATCGCAAGACTCGTCCACATAGGGCTTGGGATCCGGCCCTTCGCACAGAGCCAAATCGGTGCGACGCTTGCGAACGCTCAGGCCGCTGGCGTCGACAGCGGCGACGACCCTCTTGAAGAGGGGCATGTCGACTGGGGGGATTGGTCCATGTCGGCGCTCGTGTTCTTTCACCATTTCCTCGTACGTGGGTGTGCCGGCGAGGCCCTTGCGCTTCTTCGTCCGCTTGGACATCGAGGCGGCTGAAACTGAAACTGATTGATCTACAATCAGGTTCAGTTTCAGCCTCCTCGCTTAACACGGTTATCGCTGTAGTTAGTCGACCAGTCGTTCTGGCGGCGATTGTGGCGGTGGATTTTGGTGCAACTTGAAGTTGCACCTTCTCGAGTTGCACGGTGTCGGTTAGGAAAACGCACGGTATCCGTAAGAAGCCTATCGTATCCGGACCATTTACCTTCCCGTCATTTTCTGCCAGCGCTTCCAAGCAGCAGCAGCATGCTTCCGCCGAGCTTCAACGCCCATGATGGCTTCCTCGTGCCCGGGAGCTACGACATTGCCAACCTGCTCTCGGGGCGGTCGCTCAAGGCGCGGCCCCATGACGTCTTTGTCTGCTCGTACCCGGACTGCGGCAACGACTACGTGCTCCGGATCGTGTATGGCATCTTGCACAACGACGTGGCGCCGATACCGCCGCCCGAGACCGTCGTGCCGCACCTCGAGCGCGTGGGGAAGGAGGTCGCCGAGCGCATGACGGCGAAGGACCACGCGCGCCTCTTCAAGACGCATTTGCCGAGCAAGTGGACGCCGGCCCACGACGCTGCTAAGTACATTTGCGTCGGGCGAAATCCCAAAGATACGTCCGTGGCCCACTACTACCGCACGCGCGAGTACGTCGAGGGCTACCACTACGAGAACGGGCAATGGGATGACTACTTTGAGCTCTTCCTCGCGGGCCAGGTGCCATGACCGTCGCGTCTTCAAGGCGATCATGCGGTGTGTAGGTCGACTTTGGCGACTACTTCGACTTTTTCGTGCCCTGGTTCCAGCGCAAGGACGAAGACAACGTGCTCTTCCTGACGTACGAGTACCTTGCGGACGAGACGCGCGACGCGATCTTGCGCATTGCGCGCTTCCTCGGCGACGACTATGAAGATCGGCTCTTGGAGCACCGCGAGGAGCGGCTCCATGTCATTGTCGACGCGCTCGAGAACGTCAAGGCGCCGCTGATCCAGCTCGGCGACTGGAAAACGCTCTACTCGGCCGACCAAAGCGAGCGCATGCTCGACAAGTTCCACGAGAAGACCAAGGGTACCGGCGCCCAGCACATGTGGGCCGACCTCATGTAAGCGGCCGCCTCTACCTTCTCCTCCTTCTCGTCTTCTTGTCGTACGCATCGAGGATTGATGGCGTCTAGTAGGAATACGCAGGAGTGAGCATCGCGAGATGCGTAGTTGGTCGTTGTGCTAACCGAGGCTAGTCGACTCTTGATGCGTCTACTCGTGTTGCTACTACAGGAAGGGCGATGCGAGCAGCTCTGGTGGAGCTGCAAGGCGCTCGCCTCTGCAGCGGCGCAGGCCATGGCAGCGTGGGCGGCCGTTGGTGCTCGCGCAGCGCCGGGAGCCAAGGGCAGCAAGCCTGGTTCGGTCGCTCTGGTCCTGGCGTCGGTGGGATTTTCGTGTGAATTCGTCGAGTTCTATTTCACCGTGGTTAACTACACTGGTAACGGCTTGGGGCATGGCGGCAGGCCTCGTCCGGTGACCATCATGGACGACGCAGAAGACCTCGAAGCCGAGCTGCAGCGGCAGCTGCAGGACGTGGCCATCGACGACGATGAGGAGGACGAGGAAGACGAGAACGATGGGGATCGACCAGTGTACGAGCGCAAGTCGCTCGACGAGCTCCTCGCCAGGTACATCATGGACGGCGACGACGACGATCCATGCTGATGTGGTTGTAGCTTACAAGACGAGATGCATGGGACCAGTGCGAGTCCCATGTGGACGGCGTTTGCAGAGGCAACAAGGGCCGCAGACGTGGCGCTGCTCTCGGCCGTCGAGACGGACCTCGCCGACTTGGACTTGTACGACGTTCGCAGCGCCATCGAGGTCGACCCGCGATCGGTAGCGACGACGCCAAACGACATGCCCCTCCCACCGACGCCAACTCCGAACGTGACGCTGGCTTCCAACGGCGCTGCGGCGCCGGTCCCCGAGGAGGCTTCGCTGGCAACGGAGGACGAGGCCAGCGTGAGCTACTGCCACGCCCATTGCGAGCCATCGTGCGATGCAGTGTGCTTGGCCCACTGCGCTCTAGTCATGTGCTCCTATTACTCGAGTAGCGCAGCAGCCGCAGCGGCCCGGCACGCAGCCTCAATGGCCGAAGACGAGGTCTTCTGGTCGCTCTCCCAGCAGTCGGTCCAGGCCATCGCCATCGCTGCTCGCGTGCCCACCGTGCTAACCGAGTCGCCATCTGACGCTCTACCTGCAAACAACGTCGACGCAGCGGCCGTCATCGGTAGCCCGACAAAGCTCGACCATGAGGCCCGCTGTGAAGCCATCGAGCGCAAGCACCGAGAGCGCGTTGCAGCGATGGAAGCCGAGCGAGCGGCGGCCGACGCCGCGTACGAAGCCCAGCAGCGCGAACTTGAGCGCGAGATATCCTTTCTCCTTCCCGCTCTGCGTACTCGTCTACTCGTCATGGTTTCCAGCGACATGTAGCGTACGTCATCGCCGCCGAGACCCGACGGCTGGCCAAGCAGCGCCGCGACGAAGCGCGGCAGCGCGCCGAAGACGCTCTCCGCGCCGAGCAAGCCGCACACGACCGCCGCCTCGCCGACGAAGCGCGCCGCCTCGACGAAGAGCATCAGGCTTTTCGCGAAGACCGCCGCAGTCGCGCGATACACATTGCGATCGCGCGCAATGAGCGTCTCGCCATCGAGGGCGCCCGCGCGACCAACGAGCGCTCGCTCATGGGCGCCGAAGACGCTGCATCGATGGCGTTGGCACAAGCGCTCGTGGCCGTCGCCGCCTGGATGCGCAATGTCGATCGATCCCGGACCGAAGAGCGCGCCATGGCCGCCGCCGAAGCCATCGAGCGAGCCCGAGAGGCGGCTGTCGCCGAGGCAGATAGGATAGCACGCGAGCGAGAGCGGCGCGAGGCGTTGCGGCGCGAGCGTTTGGAAGAAGAAGCGCGTCGCGAGGCCGCCATCCAGGCTGTCCTCGCCCAAGAGGCGGCGGCGCGGGCGGCTCTCAAGAAGCAAGCGCTCGAAAAAGAAGCGGCCGAGCGACGCTTGTTGGCGCAGCGGGAGGAAGACTGCCGGCGCAAGCGCCTCGCCGACGAGCAGCGACAACGCACTGCGCTGGAGCGCGTCGAGGCGGTGCGGCGCGAAGCACAAGCCCGTGACGCAGCCGAGAAGGAACGGCAGCGCGAGGCTCAGATGCGCGAGGAAGAGCGCCAGCGGCAGGACGAGCGAGCGCGGCGGCAGCGCGAGGCCGCCCGACGTCAGGAGACCTTCGAACAAGCGTGTATGGAGCGAACGGATCGCGAGGCCCAAGCGCGCGAAGCGGCCGACCGAGACGACGCCGCACGCTTGGCACACTATCGACGTGACACCCACGCGAGCGTCTTGCGGGACCTTGTCGTATGGGCGCAGGTGCGCGAACACGAAGTGCGCCAACGCCACTTGTCGAGCTATCTCCTGGCGCTCGAAGACCGGCGGTCGTTCTTGCTCCGGAAGCGGTCGCGCGTCGATGCTTACGCCGGCGCGATCCTTGGTGTAGCCCACGTCTCGCGCGCTCGCTGGTGGCGTGTGTGGGTTCGCGAGTATGGAATGCACATCGAGAGACGCGCGGCCATCTGCCTTCAACGCGCCTGGCGCCGGTGGCAGCACTTTCGTCGACACGCCGCCGCCCGCGTCCAGTCGGCGTTCCGAGGCTTCCATCTCCGGCGCAAGCTTGCGTCCGCCCTCGAGCTCGCCAAGGTACAGTGTTGTCATCGTCGCTTGGCGTTCATGGCACTGCTAGTTTGTCGACGACGATGACTTTGACTACGACCAAGTCGACGTCGATGCATTCCTTGGGCCAGTGGACGACTTCGACCTTGACGAGGAACCGCCGCCGAGGCCTCGCGTCGGCTGGGAAGCCACGCCCGAGACCGAGTCCGACCAAGGGACCAGCGTGGCTTTGCCCGACGCCGCCCCAACAGCGTACCCGGTCATCGACAACCAGCGACGAGACGACGAAGGTGAGGATCAAGCGGTCGTTGCTCCGCTGCCTTTGCCCGCGCCTCCCGAAAGCACCGCCTCCAAGCTCTACCAGCGCATGCAGAAGGCTGTCAAGATGCACCGACCAAAGCTGGCGCGCAACCCGCCACCGAAAAAAGCTCAAGTCGACGACGTATCGCAGAGCGTCACGTGGTCGACGAGCGGCAAGAAGGCCAAGAAGGTCAACGTACCGTCGCTCGTCGAGCGGCTGCGGCGAACGACCGCGGCCTCCCGATAGCTCGACGCAACGTAGTTAGTCGATGTTGCTACTAGTAGTCCCTTGTAGTCGTTTTTGTAGTCGATGGCCTTTTTTGCTGAGTGACCGTTTCAAGTTGCCGAACGCCGGAGATGCGACGCCTCGTGGGTCTTCTTGTCGCCTGCGCCGTCCCGATCCTCGGGCAGCTGCGCTTCATGCCCATGGTGGAGCCCATGTACGTCGCGCGGAAGCCACTGCAGTTCATGCCCCATTCGGCGGCGTCCACCTGCGCCTTGGTGAACCGCTGCGACCGGTACCGCTTCATGCCCCGCCGGACGGCCGAGATCCAGCCACGCCCAACGACGCAGCTGCCAACGGCGGCACCAACGACAGCGACGCCACGCACTATGACACCGTCGCCGGCGACAACAGCCCCAGGTGCCACGCCGCCCAATGCAACGACGATAGAGCCAACAAGTCGCCCGCCGTTGACTGGCCACCCTGTTCCGTCCAGCGGCTTCGCGACGACTGCGCCATTGTCGCCAGGCGCGACGCCTTCGTATGAGAATCGTACACCAAGTCCATCGTCCGAGTCGACCAAGCGACCCCACGACGATGCCATCGACCGTCCCAACGGTTCGCCGCCACCAGGCCCCATACCCATGAAGCCGGCGACCGACTCGTCCTTGTCGTCGGGTGCGATCGCTGGAATTGCAGTTGGCGCCACCGTCTGCGTCCTCGGCGCGGCGGCGCTGCTCTTTGTCTGGAAGAAGAAGCGCGTGAACGCGGCCAAGCACCAGGAAATCATCGACGACCACACGACAGGCAGCGGCCAGTACTTTGCGCTCTTGTAGATCCATTTGTATCGAGTGCGCTCCGAATAATGACATGGTTCAATGTATGTAAGTCAAATGATCTCAGCGAGGAAGAGCCCGACGATGACCGAGTCAACTCCAGAGGAGGTCTCACTGCAAGTAGCGCTGAACGCGGCTGCAGTGCGTCGACTGGGCTTCCTTGAGCGCTTCCTTGAGTGACACATGCAAGGCGCGCAAGATGGCATAGTCGGTCGCCAAGGTGCGCGAAGCAACCGCGCCGTGCGCCCCAAGGGTCTCGAGCGACAGCGACAGTGCGGGCGACGCCTTGTGGTGCAGCAGGCGCGTCCCGACCTGAAGACGAATTCATCAGCGTATGGCAGATAGCGTCGGACGCACCTCCATATCGAGGCGCCAAGAGAGATTGTGGTATGCAGGTACGTCGAGCGACGGGTTCCACGCGGTCGCAGCCTTGATCGCCTCTCGCTGGGCCTCGTAATACTACACATGGGAGCATGAGGTCGCCCAAAGCTGGCAGGTGTCGTACGGCTGCGAGCACGCCTAGATGGTCTTGCGACAGGCGCAGCTCCGTCAGTGACGTGACAAGCTCTTGGACAGAGCTGCCTCGCTAGAGCATACATGAGGGTGGTGGCGGCGACTGTCCATGGCACCTTGGCGGCGTCGGCGAGAATGACGCACAGGCTCGCCGTGGCTTTCTCCAAGTCGATCGCGCTCCATCCGTACTGCGCTATACAAGGCGTGAGCAATGCAAGGCGTGTACAACGGCGTACAGGCATGACGCGTGAGCTTGCGCTTGAGCTTCTTCTCGGCCGTCGCTGGCGCCGCAACAAGAGGCAGCATGCTGCAAAACTCTTCGAGCTCTAGCCATTCTCAACGATCACCCACCGTCGTCAGCGCGAGCGTCGTACGCTGGGCCGTGAGCGTCGCGAGGGTAGCGGCGCCATCGACCAAGCCCTGATGCAGCCCCATGTTGGCGAGATCCTTTGTCACACCGTCAACCGGCCCTTGTAGCGTACATTCTACATAGTCCGTACAATGGCATTTCTTGCCGACGCGACCGTATACCGTACGCTATAAGCACTCTATACCGTATGCAGTTGTTGCTAACCGACAATATCGTACTTAAACGAGCACCTCGACCGGTTGACGTCAAGTGCGCCTGCATACAAACGCTGCATCTCGGTGGCGCACTTTATCGGACGCTACCGCTGGGGCGTCTGCTCCATATATTTTCGAGCGGCCCAAGACGAGATGGCGACCCCGAACTTCGGCCGAGCGGTCCAGGACATGCCCCCGGCGGGCGGCTTCAAGGCGCCCAACTTTGCCCGCGCCGTGCCCGTGACCCGCGGCCCGCCTGGCTGGGCCATGTTCGCCGGCTGCGCGGCCATCGTGACCTTTGGCTTCTACGTCGTGGGCCAGACCAACCAGGAGATCCGTGCGATGCGCAAGGAGCAGCGCGAGCGCCGCGTGGCCATGCTGCCGTTCTTGCAGGCCGAGGAAGACGCCGAGTACCTCCACATCGAAGCGCACTACTTGGACCAGGAGAAGGAGCGCATGAAGAACGTGCCGGGCTGGAAGGTCGGCGAGTCGCCGTACCACAGCAACACGTGGAAGGTGCCGGTCTGGGCACAAAAGTAAAACACGGCTACCGAGTATACAAGGAACAACGAGGCTTGTATGTGGCGCTAACCGCAAGAAGAATGCACAATCTGTTGTCTACGCCTCGTCTTGGTCGCCAAAGAGCTCGGCGAGCACGTCGTAGTTGATGTTCTTGGACTTGGCGCGCTGCTTCACCTGCAGTTTCTACGTCGACCGCATGAGCACGCGCGGTACGACGGTCGACGTACATAAATAGCGTGGGCGCCAGTGTCGGGCGCCGGGACGTCGTCGTCGGCCTTGACCTTCTTCGGGCGCTTCCGTTTGACCGCCGGTGCTTCCGCTAACCGCGCCGCCTTGGCCGCCTACGCAGCGTCATGACATTGGCCACAGCACATTCCTTCGTACCTTCTTCTCGAGGTACTCGGAATGCATCGTTTCCCAAATCTTGCGCTTCGCCGCCGACTCCTTCTCCGTGAGGATGAGTGCATCGATCTCGTCGTCGTCAATCTCTGAGAGACCCGACTCGTCCGGGTCCGGGGCGCTTGCACTTCGCACCAAGCTGCTCTCCTAGAGCCAAACCGCATGAGTCGTTCGTCGCTCGCGCCAGAACTCGGTGCCACCTCGGGGGCTGCCGTCGAGGATGTCGTCGGTGGTGATTCGACGGCGCTGCCTTCGAGCTCAGCCACGCGCTCGTCGGCGGCGATGCTTGCGCCGAGCTCCGCCTCAAGTGTCTCAAAGAGCGACCGCGTCTTCTTTTGCTGCACGAGCCAGCGCTTCGAGCGGTCGCGGACCGACGTGAGGAGGAGCTCCGCCGACTGCTTCTGCGCGTGCTGCAGGAGCGTGCTGTTGGCATCGTCAAAGCCAAAGTCTTCGTCTTCGAGGAGCCCTTGGCCCGTTGAGTCGGCCGTCTCGCGCCATGTCGAGTCGATCAGCGACGTGAGCGCCTTGCCTTCGAGGAGGCCCTTGCTGGGCGCCATCTCAAGGAGGAGCGACTCCATCGTCTCCTTCTCGCGGTTGCGCGTAAAGGCGGGCGGGTCGCACTCGAGCAGCTTGATTTCCACTTTGCCCATTTGGTCAAACGTGAGCTGCGCGGTCGGAGTCACGGCAAACTCGGCGAGGCGCTTCCGCAACGTGACTTCGCCGATGCTCACGACCCCCGCGACGTCGGTCATGGTGCACTTGACGTTGTGGGACCGCGCAGCGATGAGAAGCGCGGCGCCGCAGATGCCAGACGGTCGCCGGCCAGTTTCCATCCAGTCGCGCTTCATGGCCGAGACGAGGCGCAGCGCCGTGATCGCAATCACATGCATTTGCGTGCCGAGGTTGAGCTGCGACGCAAAGCGGTGGATGTACAGACTCGGGTCAATGAGCGGGATGCTGAGCTGGAGGAGCCGGCAAAACTTGAGAAAGACAGCGCCGAGCTGGAAGACCGAGATTTGCAGCTTGTCGCTAAAGTCGATGAGGAGATGCGGCGACTTTTCGCGCCGGCAGACAACGTAGAGGCACGCGGTGACGATCGCCTGCCAGCGGCGGCCGTGCGTAAAGTTGCGCTGCACCGCGAGGCCAAAGAGACGGTCCGCCGACTCGACGTAGTGGTCGCCGAGCCGGAGCATGCCGGCGACTTGCTTGATGCGGCGCCGGCCGTTTGCGAGCGTCGTCGCGCGGCTTTCGCTGTCGTAGTGCTTGCCGCCGGTACCAATGTTGGTGCTCGGCTTGGAGGCGGAGCCCGAGACGAACTGGCCCATGACCGAGTGCGCACCGCCCGACTCGGAGAACTCGACGCTCGAGACGATCGTGTTCTCCTCGACGACGGTACCGCAGCTCACGCAGACGGCCTCGCCGCTCGCGTCGTACACGTCGATCTCGGTGCATTGGCACGTCGGGCAGACCAGTCGACCCATGCTGCGCTCCGGCCAAGAATCGAATCGAATGGTCTCGACTCCTGATTGGACACGCCTTTGCCCGGCTAAATGCGCCCATCATTTTTATTTGGAATAAAAATACACTCTCCGACAGCGTTCTTTTTTGTAATTTTATTTTATGGCGCCTTTCCCGCGGCAACGGCGCCTCGGCGCAGCACGAGACGACGCGGCAAGGCCGCAAGTCGGCGTGCGGCGTAGGTCGAGTGCTGTGCTGCAGCATGCTACGCACCCAGAAGAAGCGCGCACGAGGCCCAGGCGATGGCAGCACACTGGCGTTGACAGAAGGCCAAAGCGATACTAGTACTAGCTTGTGCCTGGCATGGCCCGCTACAGACGATGGCAACGGGCATGTCATGTGCAAGGCGCAAGGTGTCCGCTGCCATTGCGGCTATCACAGCAGCCACCAGGATGCTGAATGCAGTCCATAGCCCAGGCGGATGCAGCGATTCGCCTTGGCTGCTGGCGTCGCTTGGGGCAGCGGCGATTTGTCATCGTTGGTGCGGGTAATACAAAGGCGAGCACACGACGCAGTGTGGCCTGCAGTGAGGTGCGAGAGCATCGACAACGGGGTCCGGTCGACACGGCGAGCAGTAGGCAGCAGCCTCTTCTTTGAGACGCCATTCATTCATCACAGGACGGAGCAGAAGCGCATGCGATGTTAAAGATTCGTTCGTGATGTGCAATAGATGCGTTGTCAGAGGTCCCGAAAATGCAATGTGAGGGGTTTTTATCAGGCGGACGCTCTTGGGATTTGTATGGTATACTCAAATCACGTGATTTGCCAGAAAGGCTTGCCCGCCCCAAAACACGATGACCGAGACCCGCCGCAGCAAGCGCCTCGCCAACACCGAGCCCGACGTCGTGGCCGCGCCCGCCAAGAAGGCCCGCAAGGCCGCGCCCGCCAAGAAGGCCGACCCCAAGAAGGGCAGCTCGTCGCCCAAGGTCCCGTCGCTCAAGGTCGGCGACACCATTGTCGACGTCGAGCTCAAGAACGAGAAGGACGAGCCGGTCTCAGTCCTCGAGCTCACCAAGGAGATGGGCGCGGTCTTCTTCATGTTCCCGAAGGCCAACACGCCGGGTTGCACCAAGCAGGCGTGCGGTACGCCGTCTCGACTGCGACATGTGGGAGCTAAGCGACGTCGTAGGGTTCCGTGACCACCACGACGCGTTCAAGGCCGCCGGCTACAACGTCTTTGCCCTCGCGCAGGACAACCCGACGCCGCTCACAACGTGGCAGAAGGGCCAGAAGCTGCCGTACACGCTCCTGAGCGACAAGGCCCACGCGCTCATCCAGCAGTTTGGCAGCTCCAAGGACGGCAAGAAGAAGGTGCAGCGGTCGCACGTCGTTGTCGCCAAGGGCGGTGTCATCGCCGACATGCAGCCCCAAGTGAGCCCTCAAGAGAGCGTCGACAAGGCCCTCGCCTTTTGCAAGGCGTCGGCCTCGGCGTAAGCTGCTATGTCGTTGTCGTCTCTACCTTTGCGTAACCACTCTCATGGACGTTCCTCCGCACATCTTCTTTGTCCTGCATGCTCCGCAGACGGGGTAGAGCAAGCATTATTAGCTTCGTACAAGGAAGCGAGAAGAGAGATGAGCGTCGTCGACTACTTGCGCGCAAAGAGCGACCCGATCGCCTTCTTCTTGGGCGGTGGCGACTTGAGTGTATCGAGGGACCCTGGCGCCGCCTTCCGCTTCCCGTCCTGGCTGCCCTTGAAGAACGGGTTCGTGCGCATCGGTGCTGGCGCGCGCGGTGGCGTGTGCGGCGCCTCCTGCAACGTAGCGCGTCGCTCGTCTGCCGAGACGTCGTCCACTTGCTCGTCTTCATTGCGCTGCGGCTCGTCGGCTTGGTCGGTCACGAGTTGCTTGAGCGGTGGCATAAAGTTGCGCTGTCGCCGGGGTGGCGACGTCGGCCGCGCATAGCTCGGCATCGAATACGTATGCGTCTCCGTCTCGAGACGCGGCGCCTCGACAAAGGCTTCGTAGAGCGCCTCCAGCTGCGCGCCAAGCTGCCGCATGCCAAAGTGCGTCGCGATCGTCTGCGCGATCGTATGGCTCTTCTCGAGCATGAAGCACTTAGCGAGATCGAGGGCCCGCGCCGGCATGTCACTCGCACACGCGTCCTTGACCATCACGAGGAGCTGCTTGTCCATCGACGCTTGCTCCGTCACGAGGTCGGGACTGCCAAGCCAAGCCAGGTGTTCGACCTTGTGGTACGGGTATAGCCTCATGGTCTTGTCGAGGCGCTCGGGCACACTGCCCAGCACGAAGGTCGATGGCACTGGCCGGTTCTTGCGTGCGAGGCGGGGCGCCTCCATGTCTTCGGGTAGCGGAATGTACAGCAGCGTATCGCGGAGGAACCCGAGCGCAAAGACGTGCGGGCCCGGCGACCCGAGCGGCGTCCACTGGTCGCCCATGCCGTGGCTAAGCACGTGCAGCACGCCGAGGCTGTCGACCGCAAAGAGCATGTGGGCGTCGTTAAAGCCAAGCCAGCGCAGGTCGGTTTGCGGCGAGAGCGGGAGCGGGCTTGAGGCGACGACGGCGACGCGGGGCGCATGCCGTTGAAACGGGAGCTTGTACACATCGACATGGAGGCAGGCTTCGCGGGCCACCTGGGTGACGACGGCCAAGTACGGGCCGGACGCCGCCATCGTGAGCACGCGGGCGCGGAGGGAGAAGGACCCGTACGGAATGCCGGCCGTCGTGTACAGCCGCAAGATGTTGAGCGACGTGGCGACCGCGCAAAAGTGGTCGGCGGTCGCGACGCAGAGCGCGTCTTCGTCGAGCGGGAGCTGCGCGTGCCACGAGGCGTTGGCGGCCCACGACTCGAAGCGGCGGTAGAAGAGGACGCTGTGGTCGTCGTCGGTCTTTGGCGACGCAAAGAACGCGCCGTGGGTATCAAAGGCCGCCAGGAGAAAGCCGTACGAGTCGGTAAACCTAAACCCGCGACGGTTCTTGTCGGCAAAACTCACTTGAATCAAGTGGTCGTCGGTCGAGGGCAGTCGCTCGATCTCGCCGAGCGGCGACCACGCGAGGAGCGTCACGGGCCCGCTGAGAATGCTACCGCTTTGAAATGGCGGCGCCAACGGCTTGGCGAACACCAAGGGCGAGACGTGCGACGGCAAAGCGCCACGTGGCGATGGCGGCGCCGACGACTCGAGGGGCGCCGCGACCGCCGGCAGAATGGTCATGTCTTGGCCAAAGCCAAAGCTCGCTTTGATCGCGTTCACCTGCATGTCTGGGTCTTCGTCTTCGGAAGCGCTCTCGAGCGTTGGCAGCACCGTGGGTGCAGGCGGCACGATGGGCGCAGGCACCTCGGGCACCACGACAGTAGGTACGGTCGTCAGAGCCAGAGAAGGGGCAGCTGCGGTATCGCATGCGTCGGGCGCAACGTTCTCGGCGTACCCGACGTTGCCAGAAGCCAAGAGGAGTGCGATCCCGTTGGCATCGGCCAGCCACGAGAGGGCCATGACCGCGTCCTCGACTTCGTAGACGGCAATGCACTCCTGCGTCGCCACCGACCAGACAAATACCTACGCGAGCACGCTGAGATATCAAGACGATGGATCGACTGGCGTACCTGGCGGGCCATCGAGGCGGCGGCGACGTAGCGGCCGTTGGGCGAGAAGCCCACGACGTTGATGTCGGCGGCCACGATCCCATCGGTGCTCGGAAACACAAGCTTGTGGACCAGTGCCCACGAGTCGCGTGCGTAGAGGCCGAGCGTGTTGGTGCGCAGCGGCACGGCGAGAAGGCGCCCGTCGATTGGCGCCCAGGCGATGCGGCAGAGCACGTCGTCGTCCTTCATGCCATTCTGGTACTGGAGCGGAAGGCTCTTGAGCGCAGAAACCTCGACCGTGTCGTCGTCAATGTGCGCAATGTCAAAGATCTGCACCGTGCTGTCGGCGCCCGACGTCGCCACATACGTCTCCATCGGGTCCATCGCAATGCTTTTCGCGACTTCCTTGTGCCCGTCGAGGAGGAGGAGGCGCTCCATGTTGGCGCGGGACACGATCCGGCTCTGCGTGTCCTCGCTCACGACGCCGACGTAGCTTGTAGAGCAGTCGACGTGCTTGATGTCCTCGGTGCAGCGGAGGAAGCAGCCTTCAAACTTGGGCTTGGCGCCAGCGCTGACGCTGTACCGGTTGAGCACGTAGTTGTCGGACGTGGCGACAAACATATCGCTGCCGCTCACCGCGACCGACGGGATCGTGCCATCGTCCGAGTCGAGGATCATGGCCTTGAGCTCCTTGAGCGTCGTGAGGTCCGTGAAGCGGACGTAGCCATCCTCGCCGCAGGTGACGGCGATCGAGCCCGGGAGCACGCCGAGGTCCCCGACGCCGGACGCATGCATCGAGATCGTCAAGATGCTCCGGACGCGCATGCTGCTGCTGCGGCTGCTGCTAAGTATGGAAAAATGAACCGCAACCGGCGGGTGCGTATTAAAATAAAATATATACTTGCATTTGTATTCGAATTCCATTAAAATACGTTCCCGCGCTTCCGGTCATAGCCCGACTGGCCCGCAGCGCCGAAAGCTGCGGCCAAGAGTCCATGACGCGCTGACGCATGGCACATGCAGTGGCCGATCGCCCAATTCCTCGGGCAATTAACTATGGGATGCGACGGGTCTACAGGTGTATAGACTTCTAGTACGCAAGACACAGACGAACTCCTCAAGTGTTTAGGACAAGGTTTAGTAAAGAGACTAGGGACGCGTCACGATTTACATGATGAGGCCCTCGTACTTCTGGGTGAACCAGTTCATGGCGTCCTGCTTGCGGAGGCGGTGGGGGGCACCGACACGCGTCTGGCGGAGCTTGCGGCGAGCGACGCGCATGCCCGGGCGGGTAAGGACAACGAAGAAGTCCATACCGTAGATACCCGTCGAGGGATCGTACTTGATACCCAAGTCGATGTGCTCGTCGATACCGAAGCCGAAGTTACCGGTGTCCGAGAAGTTGCGCTTCTTGAGCTCGTACTCCTTGACCTTGAGGCCACGGTCGAGGATCTCGAGGGCCTTCTCGCCGCGGACGGTCACGTGGCACGAGATCTTTTCGTTACGGCGGATACCGAACGTGCGGACCGTGTAGCGGGCTATAGAACAGAGAGACGATGAGCATCATGGGTCGGGTTGATCGCCTGGACACGCGAGTGTGCCAGACTATCGCGCCGCCCAGATCGGGCCATGAAGGCCAACACCGCGAGGATCATCTTGTGTGGCGAGTGTCATGGTTTCGAGCGCAATCGGGGATGCAACCGCGCGAGGCCACTGCCAATCCGAAGGCATGGAGTGCACCTCATGAGCGCGCGGTCACCCGGAAAGGCCATCATTCACAGAGCACACGCTATCCGCAGACCTTGCGAGATGCCTCTTGCGAGGACGATCTGCACGTTGCCATAGTCGTGGCCGGGGACCGGGCCGGTTAGGGCACTGTGGTCCCCCACTCGTCGTAACCAGCTAGGTTTACGAGGAGATCTACATACCCTTCGAGTACACGGGCTTCTGGCCCGTGAGCTGCTCGAGCACGCGGGCAGCGCGGGTGAGCTTATCACCCGACTCGCCGACGCAGCAGTTGATGACCAACTTCTCGACCTTGATTTCCTTCATCACGTTCTGGCTGTCCTTGCTCTACAGCATCGCATGAGCCAAAGCCCTCGGGGCGGGAACGGCCAGGCGCCGGCGACGACGCGCCGGCAGCGCGCATGGAGCGTACCATCTTGATAACACTGGGGATAATTTCGCAATTGACCTGAAGGAAGGCCGAGCCGCCAACTTTGGTTGGCTCGCAACCATAGTTTGCCCAGGACCAGTCAAATTGGCTTTTTTCATCTTTTTGGCCAATCAGAATCAACATCAGATCTGAGAGGCTTTTTGAAAATCCTCTTGAAATCAATCCGCACCGCTTCAGTGGATATCCAACAGAGTACATGTCGGACTACGAATCGGACGAGTATGGCGGGATGGAGGCGACGACGACGATGGCTCATGCATGTATGTAGGGAGTTTGTCCTGCCGCCGGGCTTTGAGGTCGCGACGGGCGGCGCCATCACCAAGGCCGCCCTCGACGGCGACCGCGAGCTCTGGCTCTTCCGTGTGCCCAAGGACGTACGAGATGCTACCCGAGTCGACGCGATGGCTCACAATGACACTAGATGGATGCGTCGGCGCTGCATGGCCTCAACATGAAGCTGCCCAAGGAGAAGAACGGGTCGCTGCACGTGCCCGTGACGGTCAACGGTTCGACCAAGTCGTATGCGCTGAAGAGCCAGGACCTGAGCTTGTGCCAGCAGTTGGTCAACATCGTGCCCGACGCGATCAACAGCAAGACGTTTGTACCCGGGAAGCCGTTCGCGCGGAGCTTCTCTTTGGTTGAAACGATCGAGATTCCGACCAAGACGACGGTCGTGGCTACATCCGCCACCGAGCCGGCCAAGAAGAAGAAGAAGACGGCGACCGCGGAGCCCGTCGTCGTCGACGCCGAGCCCGTCAAGAAGAAGAAGTCGAAGAAGGTCGCTGCCTAGGGCCGTTCGTTTATCTAGCCGCTAACCCGTAGAATTATGATACTTTTGCATGTGTATATTTCAATTCCTTTGTCTAATTCGACTCGTCAAACTGCACGAGGTACATGGTGTCCCAGAGCTTGCCCGTGATAAAGAACACGTCGTGCGCGTCATCGTAGGCAATGCCGTTGAGGACCGCGTCGCGGTGCGCGTTGGTGCACAGCGTCGAGAGATCATAGCTTGCGACGACGACGCCCGTAGCTGGATCGATCTTGAGAATCGCGTTCGAGTACCACACGTTGGCGTAGATGTGGCCGCGGGCGTACTCGAGCTCGTTCAAATGGCGCACCTAGCGCATCATCATGACCATCAGGAGCCCCATGAAGTCGCATCAAGGCGACCATGGAGGATGCCTACCGGGTGGCCGTTGGCGGTGCGCACGACGACCTGCCGCGTCTCGATCAGCGTGTGGGCGTCCCAGAAATGCAGCACGTGGGAGCCATCCGAGACGACAAGAGAGCTGCTCTCCATGGCCGTGATGCCCCAGCCTTCGTTGCGCGTCGAGCCAAACGGCTTGGCCGCGACCACGCGAAAGTCCGTCTTGTCGAGGACGTACAGCATGCGCGACTGCCACGTGAGCGCAATGTACGTGTCATTGGCGCTGTTGAGCGCAATGCCTTCGCCAAACGCATCGGACGGGAACGGCGACGCGTGCAGCAGCACGTCGCCCGAGGTGGCATTCACGCGCCGCACCGACGACTTGTCGTAGAGACCCGTCGACTCGATGAGGATACCCGGTGACTCGACGAGCAAGCCCTGTGTGAACGCGCTGGGATCGTGCGGGTACGAACCGAGGACGTGCACGCGACGATCGCTCGGCAGCTGGAACTGCGGCGACGGGACGCGAAAGCCATGGCTCGCCTCATCGACCTGCGCCTGCCATAGACCAAGCAGCGCCATGAGCACGAGACCAGCGACAGCGTACGCCGGGCGCATGCGCCAGCGCGAAATGGTCGTTGCTTTGGCCTTCTTGCCCATGGCGGCCGTGGAATTGGCAACGCCACGGGGTAGCGTCATGACACTATATCTCGACAAGATATGAAATGTAATAGTGTTATGGAGTGACACAAGCTCGGCTTTACATGGCGGGCAGCAAGGGACGGCGAGGACTATCTTGCCTCTCATACGTGAAGCTATGGAGCATGGTTGCTTGGCGTACCAAACGGCAAGGTGCAGCAACGAGGAAATGCGCTGGCGGCTCAGAGCGGGGACGGGGCGCGACAAACCGTAAAAGCTCGGTAGCTCCATCCGGATGATCCCGAATTAGTGTGGGTGACAGTCATTTTCATTTTCGACACCAGCAAGATGGACCGTGGCACAAAGACTTACGTCGGGACGGGCGAGACGACCGAGTGGGAGGACATCCTCATCAAGCGTGGCATCATCGCCCCCAAGACGAAGGCGCCTGTTGAGGAAGAGGTTGAGAGCGAGGATGACGAGGACCCGCGCGAGAACGCCACGATGGACGAGCTCGATGAGATGGACGTACGACGCCCATGCGTCGCAGCAAGCACGGCTCATGTGATCGCTCTACGTAGGACGACTACGACGAGGACCAAGCCCTTGCGCGTATTCGGTACGACGCCGACTCGTTCCCACTCGCCTACATGTGTGCTTGTAGCGAAAAGCGCATTGCCGAGATGAAGGCGATGGCGGCCCGCAACCTCTTTGGCGACGTGCAGCCCATCTCCAAGGACGAGTGGACGCGCGAAGTCACGGACGCGAGCAAGAACTGCTGGGTCGTCGCCTACCTCTTTGAGGCGAGCGTCGAGGGCTGCAAGCTCATGGACCAGCTGCTTCGCGCGGTCGCTGCCAAGCACCGTGACGTCAAGTTTGTGAGCATCCAGTCCCAAGTGTGCATTGAAAACTGGCCCGCGCGGTACGCGACTCGTCGCACTTGCTGATGGTCACCGGGCAAACTAGGAACCTCCCGACGCTCTTTTGCTACAAGGACGGCAACCTCGCGACGCAGATGCTGACGCTGAGCAAGCTCAAGGGCCTCGACACGCGCGTCGAAGGTACTTCTACTCGCTCTGCCAAGCTGCGTACTCATCAAGGTGCATTAGATCTCGAAGAGTTTTTGGCCGAAGCCGGTGTCTTTCGCTTCTAATCCTCGAGCACCTTGGGCACTTGGAAGTAGTAGCCGTGCTTGACGGACGCGTTGGCGAGTACGTCGTCCGGGCAGTTGCCTTCGAGAGCCGCGTCGGGCCGGAGCGGCGCCGACTCTATAGACATAAGAAACATAAGAAAACAGGACGCGTCGCTTGCCCAGTACGGTTGCTCAAGGCCTCGCTGCGGGTGTAAAAGTCGTCAATGCTGTCGTCGAGCGTGATCTCCTACAAGCGCCAAGCCATGACACGACGCTCACGAGAATGCATTGCGAGTAGTACTTGGATCGTCTTGGTGCATTGGATGATGTCTTCGACTTCCTTGAGGAGCGTCGGCAACTTGTCGTCCGGAATGTGCAAGTGGCACAGCTCGGCCAGGTTGAGCAGCTACGTACATGACGAGGTAGATGCATGAAACCTGCGCCATGAACGGTATAGGTGCCATTGCATACCGAGGCAGACGTCAAGACGTCGGCGTCATGGCGCTGCAACTCGTGGATGGACCACGACGCGTTTCGCGGCGCCTACGTGGCATGCGAATCATCCCACGCTGCGTCGCTTGATCCGATGGCGCGGGGAGCGTCTACCTGCGTAATGTCCACAAGCGTTCTCGTCGTGCTCATGGCGCGGACGCTCGTCGCCCGTCGCAGTCCTCGGGCCAGCATGCTTGGTGGCAAATTTATGCTCGTCTTTTTAGCCAATGGCATCGCGCGAAACTTCAATTGGCGTCGGGAAAGGACGGCGAGCATGGTCAAGATCTACAAGATGCTCGTGCACTGGGGCTTCCTCTTCACAGTCCCGACCGTCATCGCCATGACCGTCTTCAAGCCGCTCGACGAAGACGCGCAGCGCGAGATGCTCGTACGTCGCGTCGTCTTCGCCTCGTTCTACCATGCTCATGCGGCCGTAGGAGAAGAAGTACAAGTCGGACGTCGACCGGGCCAAGAAGAACCGCGCCATGTTCAAGGAGTTGCTTCTGCCGTCGAGCGACGCCTCAGAAGGCAAGAAGATGAGCGACGAAGTCACCGACATTTGGATGAAGGGCGACCCGAAGATCCGGCCCCCGGGCGTTTAAATAGCGTGATTTCCTACAACTAGCTTCGACTCGACGCTTCGACTACATGGCGACGTAGTCGCCTTCGCTCTCGTCACTGTCGGCGGGTATCGAGCGCACGTACGCGCCACTCGCATCGCTGTCGTGGCTGCGCATCCAGACGCAGACGCCGAGAAGCAGCACGAGGATGAGGCCGCCGGCAACGATCGCTGCTATCGACCCGCTGGACAAAAAAGCCTCTGGTCTTGTTGCACTAGATGCCATCGGTGTGGGTGAGGCGGCTGCTCGGTCGTCGGCGTGTTCGGGTCGCAGGCTGCTGGATGGATCTAGGAGGACGTGTCAGCGCCCGTGTGATCGACCATGGAGGTACGTGGCACAACAATCACGTGGTCGACCCTATCGGACCCCGGTCTTCGCACCTCTACTCCACGCCTTTAGATACTAGCGCGGCGTCGGCAAGGTACCAGAGGCCGAGTTGCTGCTGCTATGACTGCCATGGTGGCTGGCAGATGCCGGGTCGCGTCCGTCGGACGATGAGCCCGAGACGTCTACGGGTGGTGCTGCTTGCATGCGGTCTCCAAGCCGTTGGAGACGTACGAGGTGGGCTCTCTGCAGTGTCTTCTACTGGGCGTGGAGTGGACGGGGATATTTGTGGGCTTGGTGCTATAACCAACATCGCTACCCGTTGGAGTGACTGTGCACTCGCTTGGCACCTACCGCTGGTCGACGCTGCGCTCGGTACTTTTGTTGACGGAGCTAATCAGAGATGAGAAGATTCCCACAAACACAGAGTGCGTACACGGCGTCTGCATGACCGGAGTAGCAGGTCGGGCGACGCCTACACAAGCACGCATCGCGCTGAGCAAGTGCCTCTCCACAGCGCATTGCGCGTACCATCTTCGTTGGGATGCGTCGCGGTGCTGGCCGGTGTCGCTCCTGCGGACGACGTGCGGCTGGCTTGTGTGGCGGGTGCAGCTACGATGTAGCACCATGCGTTTGAGCGTCCTCATGGTCCTGAGCTGCATACCAGTACTGGGCGGCGTCGCAGGTTCTAGCCCGGCATCCGCAGTTTCTATGCGAGATCGAGGTGTCTGTTGCTATAGGCGACGAGCGTACCCATCTCGAGGGTCGACCAGCGGGGCATGAACGACGCTTTTCTTCGCAGCGGCGCGGCTGTGCTCGGCATGAACTGATGCACGCGGCAGCGCGAGCAGTCTTGGCGACGTTCGTAGTGTACAGTCGGACATGTGCCAGGGCAGTGCGCCTTGGGCATGAAGCCGACGAGGCGCCGCTCGTGCGCCACCGCGCTGCAGAGGAGGAGCGCGCCAAGGAGAAGCCGCAGCATTTGGTCGACGAAATCAATGTCTGTCGTGCACGCAGTGCATGATAGTATCCTTCTATCGTACCCTGCGTCCTTGCGGTTTCGGGGAAATGCAAGCTGAGGACGGGCCCATGGTTGAAGAAGAGGAGCGTCCTCCTCTGTGCATCTTACGACGGGATGGCACAGGTCCCACTCAACTGGGTCCCACTCGCTGCTTAATCCAACGAGAACGTGATGACACCACCCACTGTATGCATAGCGATTAATACACGGAGGATGCTGAAGCGCTAGAGAAGAGACCGGGTTGAGCTCGTCGCGAGAAGCTGGCGCAGCTCCGCGTGGTCAAAGACAGGGTGTCGTAACTTCCAGAGGACGAGGCCGACGACACCAATGCTAGCAATCGTCGCCATCGATCGCAGCGAGAGTGCGGGCACTTGGTCGACGGTGCCGACGGTCGCGTGCTGTGCGTCGTCGTCGGCCGTCGCGCTTTCCTCGTCGGCGACGAAGGGTGTGTCATGGTAGTACGCCCAGACTTTTGTGCGACGGCGCTGGTTGTGGCTTGCGTCATGGCAGTCGTCGACGGGTACAACCTGCAGTGACCGACCGGCGTCATACAACCCAGCAAGCGCGGCGAGAGGAGCGTGATCTGCGACCAGCGTGCCCGTGCTCTCTGTCCGCACCAGAGATAGAGCTGTGCACGCTACCAGCATGCTTGACGCCACCGAGCGCATGGATATGCACCTCGTCTGAATAAGAACCTAGGAACCTGTGGGAAGATCCACGACCTTTCGGGCGTCGGTTATAGAAAGGCTGTACGAGGTGCACGACGCTCCTCGCGCAGGAAGATAGGCCACCGACGTGCGTGGAACCAGCACATAGATTCAAGTTGATACTAGACTAGAGCAAAATACTGCTCGTCTCGGTTTGGAGCTCACCGTACTCCAAGGCGGCAAGTTTTCGCTTCTCGTCCTCGAGGAGCGCTTGCAGCCGGAGCTTCTTGCGCTGGCGTGCTTCGAGCTGCCGAAGCGCCTTCTCCTGCTCGTCGCGCTCTCTCGACTCGAGGATCCAGTCGTACTTGGAGCGCGTGAGGCCGAGGAACGTAGCGATGACTTCACCGCCAAACTCCATGCCTTCGTAAACCTTCTTGCCCGACCAGTACGTCCAGTGCCACGCCTTGGTCGTCAGGCGCGCGTCCTCGGACGAATCCCAGTAGTAGAGCTAGCATGCGGCGTGAGCAACTCCCAGTTGGTGAGCCCACGCACCTCGCTGTCGTCTTCTTTGCACTCGTCGTCGCTCGGCGGTGCCATTAGAAAGCTCATCGTCCCAAACCGCTCTGGCAAGAGACACGGGGTTCGGGCGATCTTGAAAGGTCGTGGCGGTTTAGCCAAGCGCACACAGCAAACACCTTGGCGATCGTGCACCCGTGCATATTGACGTTGCCAAGACCGATGCCATCCCTGCGTCCTGCAGCAAGACGATGCGCGGGCCTTGTGCTGTCGACAGCACCCTTCTCGGTGCATTCCAGAGCCATTGCTTCTACTCGCTCTGGCGTCTACGCACGAGCCGTCATGCTGCAGAACCCAACGATCTCTCTCTTCTCTCTGTCGCTGCGCAGCTACGAGCCATGATTGTTGTTGCTTGGCCACGACGCTTCACCATCGGTTGCCGGCTTGTGGAAAAATTGAAGGGACCGGCGCGGCGCAAGTTCGGTTGACGTTGACGGAATCGAAGCGCACTTAATCGAGACGCCGCATTTACAGGCGCTCCGCATTTGCTCGTCGCTGGCCGGACGCAATTATGGTCTCGATCCAGTTCACGTCGGACGTCGGGCTCGGCAAGGTGGCGGTCGCCGCCTTTGGCATCGGCTTCGTCATGGCCGTGCACCTCTGCCTCCTCTTCTACGTCGTCTTGGCGACGGACGCGGGCTGGACGTACCACAATGCGACGTTGCAGTGGGCGGTGTACATGGTCTGCCTCACGTTTTTCCACTTTTCCGAGTTTATCTCGACGGCCGCGTTCAAGCCCGGCTTTGTGAGCTACGAGTGTACGTGCCTCCGCTACGTTCTTATAGCGTGGTCTCATGGCGGTCTTGTCTAGCTTTCCTCCTCAACCACAGCGACGCGTACCAAGCCGCGCTCTTTACGAGCTGGGTCGAGTACTGGCTCGAGGCCTACTTCTTCCCGGACGCCAAGTTTCGCTCGCTCTTCATGTGGCTCGGCCTCTTCCTCATCGTCATGGGCCAATTCTTCCGCGTCGGCGCCATGTGGACAGCGAAGAGCAACTTTTCCCATCGCATTGAGGTCGCCAAGCGCAAGGACCACGAGCTCATCACGCACGGTCTCTACGCGTACGCTCGTATGTGCCGACACGCGAGACTGATGCGGCCGTAGGTACATTCGCCACCCGTCGTACTTTGGCTGGTTCTACTGGTCGATCGGCAGCCAAGTCTTTCTCTGCAACCCGCTCTGCACCGTCGCGTACACGGTCGCGTCCTGGAGCTTCTTCAAGGACCGCATTCCGTCCGTCTAGTCGGCCTCTTGTCACGAAACTGATCGATCGGACGTAGGTACGAGGAAGAGATCCTCCTCGACTTCTTTCCCGAGCAGTACCCGGCGTACAAGGCGCGTACGGTCAGCGGCGTTCCCTTTGTGTAAGCTCGCGCAAGAAGGTGGCGTCGTCGGACGTCAAGTCTCGCACCGGCGTCCTGCCGATTCTGGCTGTGGAGTCGTGCACAGTAGTCACCCACCGTCGCCACTTTTTTCTTCCACTAACGTTAGCAACAATCCAGTACTTCGTCGCGTCAGGACTTGTATCTATAAAGGTGGGCCACTGCAGTCTCGGTCCTTGCAGCCTTCTCCGTGGTACCGTCCTTTCTACGACCTCTAGCCGGCACCGTAACCTCGGCAGGGACGATCGACCTTGGTCAACTAGCACGCAGGTCGTTTGGTGGGACTGGGCTGCCCAGTGCTGGCTGGTCGTCTCAGAATCTGGTCGGCTGGGCCGCTCAGAGCTACTTTGTTGGCTGGTGCGCTCTCTGGACAGGCGCGGTGGTTTCGGCGCCGCCTTGCTGGCGGAAAGGTCGCGAAACGGCTGCGCGGCATGTGATTGGCTGCCAAAGTTTTTCGCCGCGTTTGATTGGCTGCTAAAGTTTCAGGCAACGAAACCGGCGGCCGCGCGCGCTCGGCGCGAGTTTGCACTTTCGAACTTTACTCTGGTCGAGCATGCGCTGGAGCTACGTCAGCGCGATCGCCGCGCTTCTCTTCGTCCACGTGGTCGACCCGATCGCGGCCAAGGGCTCGGGTGTCGCGCACTTTGCGAGTGCCGCCAGCTTGCAGCAGTATGCGTCCATTGGCGGTCACATGCGCCTGACGATCCAAGAAGACGACGACAGCGAGGTCGGGGACCAAGACCACGATGGACACGTCATCAAGGAAGCTGGTGAGAGCGAAGAGGACAAGAAGAAGCGCAAGCTCAAGCGATGCAGCGGGTTCATGCCGGCGGCGCATTGCCCGCGCATCTGCAAGTCGTCGCGCACCGAGGACGGCTGCGAAGACTGCTCGACGTGCAACAATCACAAGTTTATGCCTCAAACGCAATGCCTCCGCACCAACACGTGCACCAAGTACCGCTTCATGCCCATCGCCAAGTGCGCGGCCGACAAGAAGAACGATGGCTACAAGACGCTTGCGCCGAGTGGCTACCCGACGCCGGCCCCGAGCACGTACCCGACCCCCGAACCGTCGCACCCGTCATCTGCGCCAACGACGAAGGCACCGACGCCGGCACCGACGCCGGCGCCGTCGCATCCGTCAGTTGTCCCCGCGACGCCCGCCCCGTCCAAGCCAAGCGCCAACGGTGGCACCGGTACGAACGGCGGCACCAACGGCGGCACTAACGCTGGCACTGCAGGCAACAACGGTGGCAACAACAACAACGGCGGCACCAACGGTGGCACCGGTACGAACGGCGGAGCCCACGGTGGCACTAACGGCGGCACTGCAGGCAACAACGGTGGTAACAACAACGGCGGCACCAACGGCGGCACCGGTACGAACGGTGGAGCCCTCGGTGGCACTAACGGCGGCGCTGCAGGGACCAACAACGGTGGCAACAACAACAACGGCGGCAAGAACGGCGGTACGACAGGAACCAACGGCAAGGACGGCACGACAGGTACCAACACGAACGGCGCCAACAACAACAATGGTGGTACCGGCACGGCCAACAACTCGTCGGGCTCGTCATCGTCGAGCATCTCGGGCGGAGCGATTGCAGGCATTGTGATTGGCTGCGCAGCCTGCGCCGGTGCTGTCGGGTTCTTCATCTGGAAGAAGAAGAAGGACCAGAGCCGCGAACAAGAAATCTTTGGTGACGCGCACCAGGACGCCGAGAGCGGCGGCGGCGACTACGCGGCCATGTAATCTCTTGCGAGATACCCGCACCAACCACCGTAACACACAAAACAACCCAGTCTTTGATGTTCAGCGTGGATGCACCGCGCGTTAAGGTGGAGCTCCCTAGTTTAGCCAAGGTTCATATTCGAGGAATCCAGTCGCCGATGTTGACTGGCCCATCGAGGTTAGGGTCTATACATGTTGTGTCTCGATCAAAATCGTGTGGACGCTATTATTTAGTGCGTCCACGACGCCAGCTTTTCCATTGCCTCGGGGAGCTTGTGCGTGGCCGCCATCTCGTAGTATTCTTTAGCTTTTGCCCCGTCCTTCTCGACGCCGTCGCCGCGTTCGTAGAGCTGCGCCATGCAGAGCTGGGCTTCCGGGATGTTGGCTTCGGCCGCGAGAAAGAAGCACGATGCGGCCTTCGCAACGTTGGCCTCGACGCCGCGCCCGAGCATATAACACGCGCCGAGCTCAAACTGCGAGAGACCGTGGCCCATATCCGCCGCCTTCTGGAACGTCTTGAAGGCACGAGTCGGGTTGGCGTCCGTGCCGTGGCCGTGCAGATGCGCCTTCCCGACCATCCGCAGCGCCTCGGGCATGCCTTGCTTGGCCGCGCGTGAGTAGAGCGCAAAGGCTTTGACCTTGTCCTGCGGGACATGCACGCCATTGTCATACATGTACGCGAGGTCGAATTGCGCCGCCATGTGGTCTTGGTCGGCGGCCTTGGTCCACCACTCGAACGCGACGGCTTCGTTGGCCTGCACGTGCAGTCCGTGCAAGTACATGCGGCCGATCTGGTGGCGGCAGTTGGCGTGACCACCCTCCGCCGCCTGCTGCAGAAACTTGGCCGCGAGGCTCAGGTCCTTCTCGACGCCATGGCCGGTGAGGTAGAGATGACCCAGCGCGCTCTGCGCCTTGGTGTGGCCCATGGCCGCGGCCGACGTCCACTCAGCGACCGCGAGCTTGATCGCACTGTCGTCCTTCTTCTGAAGGTACCGGACGCCGTTGAGGTACTCGGTGGCGCCGGCGGCCGAGCAGAAAGGGCGCTGGCCAGTGATGAGGAGGCGGCGAAGCATCTCGAATTTGTGAAACTGTGATGGCATATGGGATTTGTATGTCGGTTGCAAAACCCTTTTAACGGGGTCGATATCAAGCTTCCTTGGATTATGTCGTTTACAAAACACGGTTGACGGTGATGTATTGCTGCCCACGATGGCTGGTAGCACCCAACCTCGAACTGTAAAATGTCCTCCTGTTCTGTGAAAAACGGCGTGGGTTTAGACAACCAAAGGCAATAAACGCGTATAAGAAAGCGGGTACGGAAATTGCTGTCGGTTAGGAACACTTTTGCAAGAATACATTCCCAAACGCTTCCGGCCACGGGACACAGGACGACGATGAGCTCGCTCGACGATGAACTCGCTCTCTTCCAGGAAGAGATCGCATCCATCGAGAAGGAGACAACGAAGAAGCGACCTATCGACGAGGTCGACCCGGACGAGGTCGCGCGGAAGCGGCAGAAGGCCATGGAGGTCGCCAAGGCCATCATGGCGCAGGCGGCCAAGCCGGTACCTGCACCGGCGCCAGCGCCGCAGGTCATCATTCGCGCGCCGACCGCGTTCGTGCCCAAGCCTGCGGCGTCGTATGGCTCGTCGCAGCACGACGCCGCATCATCATCGTCGTCGGCCGCGAACGTCTCGATCATGCACGGGCAGTCGCTGCCGTCGTCGTCGGCCATGCACATGGAGGTGATCGACCACAACACGGGCATGCCGCTCTCGTCGCACGAGCAGCTCATCTTTAGCCAGCAGCAGAGCGTGTACCGGTACCGTCCGGAGCGCAACGTGGCGAATGCACAGTCCAACTCGGACAAGAAGTTCCTTCGCGTCGCCGCCGGCAAGGTCTGGGAGGACGCGACGTTGGCCGAGTGGCCCGAGAACGACTACCGTCTCTTTTGCGGCGACCTCGGGAACGAGGTAAATGACGAACTCTTGTCGCAGGCCTTCTCGACTTATGCTTCGTTTGCGATGGCCAAAGTCGTGCGCGACAAGCTCACGCACAAGTCCAAGGTATGTGCATCTCGTTGCAGCTATAGCTCATGCAAGGTGTTGCGAATAGGGCTATGGTTTTGTGAGCTTCCTCGACCCCTTCGATGCGGCCAAGGCCATGCGGGAGATGAACGGCAAGTACATTGGGAACCGCCCGGTCAAGATCTCCAAGGGCAAGTGGGAGGACCGGGCCATCGACGTCGTCAAGAAGAAGAAGGGCGGGAAGAAGAACAAGAAGCATCTCTTCAGTTAGCCGAATGCACTAACGTCGCCATTCATCCTCGATCGGCATCTCGCAGGCTTCTGTGCAGGTCTTACAGCTCGCTCCATGCCTGATACCTCACACAATACTAAGCCGCAAAGAAGGGTAGAGAAGAGGACAAAGATCTTAGTCTTCGCAAGAACCATAGTATCTACTAGTACACAACTTTGGTATCGATCTCCGAGCCTTGCTTCATGAGAACCGCGACACAGCGCTTGTTCATCGAGTCAACCAATGTCCTGAGGTAGACGCTCGACAGATTCGACCACGCAGTCTCGATCGCC